CGACTGTGCGCACTCAAACTTGAGTGCGACACTGCGCCCTTAATTTGAGAAAGCCAATGATGCATATGCGACTGTGCGCACTCAGATTTGAGTGCGACACTGCGCTTCTTATCTAAGGAACCCGCTTGAATGATCTTGAGTATATCCGACTGTGCGCACTCAGATTTGAATGCGACACTGCGCTCTTTATCAGAGAAAACCCGCTTTGATGATTTTGAGTATGTGCGACAGTGCGCACTTTATCTGTAAATTTGGCATGACAATTTTGAACATGTGCAACAGTGTGCACTCAATTTGAAAACTCAGCATTGATTTTTTTCGAGCAAGCGTGACTGTGCGCACTCGAATTTGAGTGTAACACTGCATGATCAATATGCAAAACTCCACTTTGATGATTTTGATTTTGTGTGACAGTGCGCACTCAATCTGTGGAATTTTGCTCAATCTGCGTACACTGCTTCTGATGATTCTGAGTGCACGCCCAGCCTCAGTTTGGCTGTTTGAGTGCGTGCCCAGCCTCAGTTTGGCCTTTTGAGTGCGCACCCAGCCTCAGTTTGGCTGTTTGAGTGCGCGCCCAGTCTCAGTTTGGTAGTTTAAGTGCGCGCCCAAGCTTGGCACTGCTGTTAGAGTGTGCCCCCATGCGCGCCCAAGCTTGGCATTGCAGTTAGAGTGCGCGCCCATGCGCGCCCAAGCTTGGCATTGCAGTTAGAGTGTGCGCCCATGCTCGCCCAAGCTTGGCATTGCAGTTAGAGTGTGCGCCCATGCGCGCCCAAGCTTGGCACTGCTGTTAGAGTACGCGACCATGCGCGCCTAAGCTTTGCACTGCTGTTAGAGTGCGCGCCCAAGCTTGGCATTGGTGATAGAATGCGCGCCCAAGCTTGGCATTGCAGTTAGAGTGCGCGCCCATGCGCGCCCAAGCTTAGCATTGCTGTTAGAGTGCACGCCCATGTGCACCCAAGCTTGGCATTGCTGTTAGAGTGCGCGCCCATGCGCACCCAAGCTAGGCATTGATTGTTAGAGTGTGCGCCCGTGCGCGCCCGAGCTCGGTATCGCTATATGAGCATGCGCCCATGTGCGCCCGAGCTTGGTATTGCTATATGAGTGTGCGCCCGTGCGCGCCCGAGCTCGGTATCGCTATATGAGTGTGCGCTCGTGCGCGTCCGAGCTCGGTATCACTATATGAGCGTGCGCCCGTGTGCGCCCGAGCTCGGTATTGCTATATGAGTGCGCGCCCGTGCGCGCCCAAGCCAGATATTGCCATTTGAGTATGCGCTCTCTCACATGCGCCCATGATCTGTATTGCTGTTTGAGTGCATGCCTATGAGTGCCCAGGCTCGTTATTGCAGCAAGAGTGTGCGCCCATGCGCCCCCGAGTTAGATATAGTCATTTGAGTGTGCGCCCATGCGCGCCCACGCTTGGTATTGCACCATGAGTGCGCCCGGGCTCGAGTAGGCTATATGAGTGTGTGCCCTGATGATTCTAGATCGCATGTTCCGCTGATACGATGGTCGGGGACGTGCGCCCAGCGAGTGTGATTAGTCTTGAGGACATGACTGGATGTCTCTGATGATATGACTAGCCCCAACTCCCTCTGATATGATTTCTTGTTGATGAGTCTCTGCATGAACGATATTCATATTATGCCCTGTGCAGACGGTATTTTTCCTGCACGCATGATCTCAGTGTAGTTCGGTTTGCACGCGCAGTATCTTGCAACTGGACTCTGCATGGATAATATCTTGATGATCGGTCTCTCTCAGTGACAATACTTGCAGTTCAGTCCTCATGCTCTAGTCCACTTGCTGCAGAGATGTTCGTATGATGTTGCTATGATGAGCCGCTGAGTTGTTGCTGTTCTGCCGAGCCTATTCAGGCGGGCCCCTATAGCGAGATGTTGTTGTTGAGCCGGGCCCATTCAGGCGGGCCCCTATATCAAGTTGTTGTTGTTCAGCCGGGCTCATTCAGGCGGGCCCCTATAGCGAGTTGTTGCTGTTCAGCCGGGCCCATTCAGGCGGGCCCCTATATCGAGTTGTTGCTGATCAGCCGGGCCCATTCTAGCGGGCCCCTATATCGAGTTGTTGTTGTTCAGCCGGGCCCATTCAGGCAGTCCCTTGTATCAAGTTGATTGCTGATTCAGCCAGGCCCATTCAGGCGGGCCTCTATATTGAGTTGGTTGTTACCAGTTTGGCGAGAGGGTCTACTGAGGTGCTATCCTCTCCGACCCCATCGAGTTGGGTTATTTCCCTGGGCTATTGATATCCCCCTCATCTCCAGGACATTATTGCTCGGCACAACAGCTTACCGGGAGCACTCTATACTATTTTGTAGATTGGTCAAGCAGGCTTCTCAACGTGAGACAACCCCTACATGGGGTAAGCTGGTAAGAAGTTCTGCTATCGACACATTGGGCATCAGAGTTTCATTATAAGGGCCAATGAGTCTCCCACATCAAGATATACATTGGTGATCACTTATCACGTGAGAAAAGTCGGACAGGGAATAAAGGGAACCACCTACGACCGGATTGCTGACTATATCTTCCGCAGGGAGAGTTATTGGAGAGAGCACTGGTTACATGTGGTGTTTCCCCAGATCCCCTTTGCACCAGGTGTGCTCTCTATGACTTTGATCGCTGTAATCCTAAGTCGTTGAGCAGAGGTGGCAGCAGGGAAAAGAGGCGTCAAGACAGGAGGATCAGGAGCGAGGTGGCCAGATCCGGGATACCTATTACCCCATGTCTACAGAGGTCAGGGACGGACGAGTCAGACCAAGGGCCTTGCTGTGTGAGCGACGTTGATTTCGGGGACTATTTTGATTGGGATACTCACAGGGACTGAGCACGCTTGATTTGGAGCAGATCCAGAGCATTTTTATGATACTGGTCACTAGAGCGAGACGCAGGCGGAAGGCAGCTCTACGACGGGTTGCTTACCTCCTGGCACGATATTTGCTTGAGGGAGATTGATCTAGGCCATACATAACAGGACTAACCAAGTCAGAGGAGGTAGCCAACCCTTCTAGAGGGAAGGGACCAGTCCCATATCTTGGGGATGGCTACAGTTATTTGGTGGGAGCAGATTTCGTTATACAGGTTCTTCGGAAGCCTCTTTATGGAGACCGTTTTCTGGAGGTTTCATACGACTACATCTATGGCAAGGGGCGGATCGAGATCTTGATCGGTGCCACTGGCAGCATTTCCCTCGCTGAGGAGCTGTACCTTCAGAGCGTTGCGGACGAGGAGATGGCCAGATGTATGACATACACCAGCAAGATTGATCCTACGGCAGTCGAGCCCACTCATGAGGGGGTACCACTTGTCGTCATTGACTGAGGCTCGTATCTTTTAGTCACTGAGATAAACCATGACATTATTATCATTTATCAGTGACTGCAGCCCCTTCTTTATGGTTGCTTCCTCCATTCTTTTAGTACTACTCTTCAGTCTCTTGTTTCTGGTCATGCTCTTGCAGAGTCTGGTTTTTGGTTTTTTCGTCCTCTTAGTGTCATTTGATTTATGATGCATGGGAATGTTTATGCATGAGATAAAAAGTTATTTATCACTCCACATAAGGTTACACTCAAGGCTACTTGAAGGACTCCTAGATAATAGGGACTCCGGTGACCTTGAGTGTGACCTTTATACGGCGTCAGGTGCAGGCGATAAAACCGAACGCCTCACTCTAAGCCGTGTCGCCGCTGGCAGGAGGGATAACCCTGACTTCTCGACTGTGTGACAAAGGCTGCTTGTGATTTCACTTCGAATTTTTCCTAAGACTCTCCAAAATCCTGCGTGACAGCCTGCCAGTCAACCAACCCTCCGCACTCGGTCCGGCGAGGGACATCGTGCTAGGCCCTGGAACGGTGGGGGCGCGACATCGGTATGTCCTCCGGTGGAGGTAGACCCACACCACACTCGCGACGCAGGACCCCATGGAACCGAAGGGATCGCTTGCCATGCTGGATGCTCGGGCCTCCGGTTGAAGATCCGCCGGTCCAATCGAGTAACATCGCGCACAGCCTGTCTCGCCAACTCCTCTGCATCCAAAGGAAGACGGACGTCTTGCGAAGCAAAGTGACTCGGAAGACGTGGGGGTACAACCAGCGGCTCGGACCCCAAATTGTGACAACAAGCGGTGGCACACCATGAGCTGCCATCTGAACCGCTTGCGACTGTCGGCCCTGGGCCAAGTGCAGGCCCGAGAACGGAACGACTGGACCCGTCGTTGTCTCCTGGACAACGCGTCGTGCGTCTATAGCCCCCTCGTCTCGCCGCTGTCATGCCTGCACAACCTCATCCACCGCCTGTGGTCGTCCCTCCACAGCAACATCCGCTGCCTCTGGTCCACCCGGCATAGCCTCATCATCCGCCTCTGCTGCCACTCCCTCCGCAACATCTTCCCCAGCCACCACCCCACCCTGCACACCATTCCCCCCTGTCTCTCGAAGCCTGGCCTCCTCTAAGACCTGTGTGAACGCCTGAGCACGCGGGTTACTTGATGCCAGAAGTCGATCACTCTCTTGCTCCATGATGTCGCGTGCTGCATCAGGAGACTCAGTCATCGTCCTCTCTCTCGGGGTCTGCGTCAAAGTCTGTCCTGCCGCCTCATCCCTCGATGAAGCCCGATCCGTCGATGTCGCCCCGCCGCAACTAGGTGGAAGGCCCATCGACAAATCAAATTCTTAGTGGGTCCCCATCTCGGAATCCGAAATCCCAAGGCCCCTCGCCACACCCGCGGTCATATCAGCTATGACCGGATCGAGCTCCTCCGTGAGGAACTGCTGCATGAGGCGCTCATGCGGCTCATCATCGCCCCCACGCTGCACCTCTTCCTGTGCGGCTATCTCCTCCTCCACTGGTCCTGCCACCCCCCCCTCCACAGCAGCTGTCGACGGTGCCTCCTCCTCCTTCACTGGTGGTGCCCCCTCCACCTCCACTGCTGCCGCTCCTCCAGCTGCTCCTCTTGCTGCTGCCACCTGCCCCTCCACTGCTGCTGCTCCTCCTGCCGCCGGTGCCTCCTCCTCCAGCAATGATGCTGCCATCTCCTCCAGCACTGCTGATGCTATTTCGTCCACCGCGGCTGCTACCGTCACGTCCGCCACCGCCGCTGGTGCCATCCCCCCCTCCACTGCTGCTGCCGACGGTGCCTCCTCCTCCTACAATATCCCTAGGGAAGGTGATTGTAACCTCAGCTGGCGGACTGCCCCGCCTCTGTGGAGAAGTCCGCGCTGAGGCAAAGAGGACCCAAACTCCTCCCTGTCTACCATTGCCATGGCCGGCTGAAGTGGTGAGACGGGCGATGGTTGTGCAGGACTCGGAGCAGGAGGTGGTGGCATGGACGACTCCCGCCTCGTCGGAGTGGGTCGTCGCCCGCGCCTCTGTGCTGCCCGTAGAAGCGACCTCCCCGAATGGGCCCCAAAACTCCTCCTCTCCCCCCAGCATCTCCCTGTCCGCCCGGTCCGCCGCCCGTCGTGCAATGTGTGCCCTCGTCTCCTCATCGTCGTGATCGTCGTGCGTCTCATGGATCTCAAAGGGAATTCGGAGCGCACAGTCATCCGCTGCCTCGGGTACCGGCTCCTCGTCCGAGTCGTCCTTCCAGGGTAGGGACAAAAAATGCAAGCACGTCTACTAAAAACGGCATCAGCAGACAGTGGTGAGAGGGCCCCGATGGGATCCCGGGCTGTGTGTCCGAAAACCGATTCAACGTGGGTTTCGCGTTGAAAAATTGAACGCGCGTTGAATTCACGTTCAATCCCCGTTCAAACGCGCGTTGGACGCGGATGAACGGGGTCCGCGAACGGCGTTTCCTCGCGTTTGGGGGGGGGTAGGGGTTTTGTGAAGGTGTGGGGTGGTAGTGTCCGTTGTCGGGTACCACCCCATGCATCTTTTTTTTATTATTATTTTTTTTTTACGAAAAAAAATTAAAAAAACACGCGCGAACCCCTTTGCGTCGTGTAGGGCGTTCGCGGGGTGCCTGCCTTCGCCGGCTTGCTGGGGGGTGGCGCAAGGGAAATGGTCCGAACGGGTACAAAAACGGGCGTTGCGTTCGGCCGCGGCTCATTTGCCGCGCGAGCCATAATGCGACAAACGGGTTTCCCCTGCGTCAAACGCTGTGGACGAGAGAGAGAGAGAGAGAGAGAGAGAGAGAGAGAGAGAGAGAGAGAGAGAGAGAGAGAGAGAG